CATTTATGTTGAAACTTCAATCTTTAAATCTTTTGGAGACTGTAATACTATAAGAATTCTAACTTCTCAGTTTACTAACCACTAGCATTCAGAACGTGAAGATATTGTATAGTGCAGCTTTTTGAATAGTTTAGAAAACAGAAGAGTTTTTTAGAAAATAACTCTTTGTTTTTTACTAAACCACTGAAATTAAAAATAGACAAGCTTAAGTTTGTTTACTAGCTTTTATAATGAACTTTTAATAACTTTTCATCTAAATTATGTTTCTATGAATATTTCACATCTTGATTAACTCAGCATACAGAAATATTGTAATATTTTCTTTCTATTTTCATAATCTTGTTTGCTTAGATAGACTGCTCAAAGAAATGAGATTTGTGTAAAGTCATGGCTATGAATAAGGCAGGAGTAGCTAATTTTAGATTTATCAAGTTTCATCATTATCTTTTTATGTTAACTCAATGTCTAAGATTCATTTTAAAATTGTTATTTCATTTGTGTTTATCTTAATTCTTCTGGGAAGAAAACAATTCAGTACATGGATACTGTGGGCACTGTTAATTAAATAAAAAGAAATGTGTTACAATTATGCATATGTTACTGAAATTTAATTTTCCAACTTTGGATAAAGTCTTTCTTTAAGGTCTAGGTGAATGGGAACTTTTGCTTTCAAAAGAGTATTTATTGATCAGTTTCAACAATATATCAATTTAAAGAAATCTTTTTCCCGAAGCCGTACTTTGAATAGGTGATCTAACTAGTCTGCCGCTAGTTAATGCAGTTGGCTATAGTGTACTGCAAATAGAAATCTTCTGTGAATCAGTGAGCTTGGCTTTCTTCCGCAGCCTCAGGCTCCTTTTACCTTGTTGTAAGGGGTCTTCGGTTATTGGGAATAGTGCTACAGAGTCCATCATTAGAGAACATTCTCAAGTTGAGAAACGTCATTTAATCTCTGCTTTAATTCAGTAGCGATATGTTTGTTCAAGGTTTGGCCCTATTGGTTGGATCCTTTGAGGACCATAGTAAAGTAGAATTTTAGCCACGGTCTGCAATTTACAAAACTTCTTAACTTTGGTTTCAAAGATAATACTGATGGAAATAAGATCTTTGTGTGTAGTGTGCAGCAGTGGCTATAAACACCACCTTTTGATTACTAATTCTTTATGAAAGATACACACTCGAAATTTTTGATTAATTGATTGTCTCTTAAGTTACAAATGATTATTTAATCCAATTGGTATTTCCTGTTGCAGATTATATGCAGGCCCAGAGGTAGATATATGGAGCAGTGGGGTTATTCTCTATGCTTTATTATGTGGAACCCTTCCATTTGATGATGATCATGTGCCAACTCTTTTTAAGAAGATATGTGATGGGATCTTTTATACCCCTCAGTATTTAAATCCTTCTGTGATTAGCCTTCTGAAACACATGCTGCAGGTGGATCCCATGAAGAGGGCCACAATCAAAGATATCAGGTAATAAAGCAATTTGGAAATTATCAGATCTATAATATCCATAATATAAGTTAACTGAAAGGAAAGTTGCAGAATAGTGTAATGTAAATTTTATGTGAAAATAATGCAGTCCATAGACACATTTATCTATTTTATTTTGGTGTTAAAAATAGATACTAAACAAGTTGCTTTAGAGAAGTAAGATTGGTAGGAGGAAAGGCATTCACTTTTAACTTATGCATCTTTATTTTGAGACTGCTACAATGAACATTATATTACTGTTTAAATTTTTAAAAAGCTAATGAAAAATTAAAAAGACCCAAGTGGAGTGTTAATGAAATTTTGTAGTAGTTCTTTATAATGAATTTTTAATAACTTTCATAGTATGCTTCATATTTGACTTTAATGTATTCTTACTAGGACTAATATTTTTAATAATAAATTCGTTGCTATTTGAGTTTTAATCTCATGAATTACTGTATTTTTTTTCTCTTCTTAATCACAAGAAATGAGAAAATTTTAATTGAATCAATGACATGCTTTCCCTAGTAGTATACATTGAATCACATGAAATTGCTGTTTTGGTAAAAGCTACTATTACCAATTTCATATGATTTAACCTAATAGTTTAAATAAGGCAGAAGTGATGATGACAAATCTTTTCAAATTTGAGTGAGCCATTTCTGAGGAAGACTTAAAAAAATTTACTGCAAACTTTGTTTCTTCTCCCATCATTTCCTTCCTTTCTTTTGCCCCCATGGAAATTTCTCTTTTGGTATGCTAATGGCTAGACCACACATTTCTCTTGGATCAAGGGAGAAGGAAAAAAGAAATCAGATATGGATGTAGAAATAGCAAATACAAAAGTATTAGGGTGATGAACATATATATAGTGAAACTTGTACCTTGGTTACTTTCCATTTACTCCATATGCTTTAGATTAGCTAAAAAAGAGACCATAAAAGGCAGGGTGTGATTTTACCACCAGAGGGAAAGGACAAATCATTCTCTAAAATTTATATTTTAAAATATCTAAGTAAGAAATGTTTTTGCTTATGTTTTACATATTTTTTCCAATTAAGATGTAATATATGACAATTAGAAAAACACCAAAAAAATACAGAAGACAATAAAAATAATCTTTAATACTATCCCCCAGAAGATAACCATTGTTCATTTGAGTTTTTTCCTCTCTTGATTTTTTTATAGTTCTAGCATAGTTTTTTTTTTTATTATTTCAGCATATTATGGGGGTACAGATGTTTAGGTTACGTATGTTGCCCTTGCTCCCCCCTCCTCCCCTAAGTCCGAGTTTCAAATATGTCCATCCTTCGGGTGGTGCGCATTGCACTCTTTGTGTATCTAGCATAGTTTTTGACATAGGTCAGGTCAAGCAAATCCTTTCATATTTGAGATTAGGGAATTGGAATAGGAAATCATTCAGAGAGCATAGTCTTTTGAGTCACATAGATCTGGGTAGCAATCCTGGTTCTGCCATGTACTGTCCTCATGGCCTTGAGTAAGTTCCTTAATATATTTGAACCTCAGTTCCTTCATTTAAAACAAAGGGATGTTATTATCTTCATAGAATTGTTTTGAGGATGAGGGAAGATAATGTATATGAAGTGTTTAGTACTTACTGTGTTTAACTTAAGTGTTTAACACAGTAAGTAAGTACTCAATAAATGGTAGCTGTCTACTATTTTTGTTGTTATATTATTTTCACTTAATATTATATCAAAAGTATTAAGATGAAGCCCCATAATATGTTCTCTCTCTCAGTTGGAAATAAGCTGTTTTATTTTCATTGTTTGTTGTTGTCATTCATTGTTAAACTCTATTTATTTATTAATTTTGAGACAGAGTCTCTGTTGTCTGAGCTAGAGTGCCATGGCATCATTGTAGCTCATTGCAACCTCAAACTCCTGGGCTCAAGCAATGTTCCTGCCCCAGCCTCCTGAGTAGTTGGGACTATAGGCGTTCTCCATGATGCTGGCTATTTTTTTTTTTTCATTTCTATTTTTAGTAGAGACAGGTCTTGCTCTTGCTCAGGCTGGTCTTGAACTCCTGAGCTCAAGCAATTTGCCTGCCTTGGCCTCCCAGAGTGCTAGGATTATAGGTGTGAGCCACCGCACCTGGCCTCATTCTAAAATTTTAAATAAAATTGTAGACATTGCTTTTTGCATTGCTACATCAATGCATTCTCACCTATAAAATCAGAGGGAGACTAGAGCATTTCCCTTGATATATATAATGAAGTGTGAACTAGAAAAGGAAAATTAAAGTGTAAAAAATGATAATACACTATGGGTATAAATATAAATGAATTCATATCCTAAATTCCCCAAACTGTTACTTTCAGTCACAGCTCTACTCAGAATCCTCCTCACCCTGCCATTTTCTCTCAGGGAACATGAATGGTTTAAACATGACCTTCCAAAATATCTCTTTCCTGAGGATCCATCATATAGTTCAACCATGATTGATGATGAAGCCTTAAAAGAAGTATGTGAAAAATTTGAGTGCTCAGAAGAGGAGGTTCTCAGCTGCCTTTATAATAGAAATCACCAGGACCCTTTGGCAGTTGCCTACCATCTCATAATAGATAACAGGAGAATAATGAATGAAGCCAAAGATTTCTACTTGGCGACAAGCCCACCTGATTCTTTTCTCGATGATCACCATCTGACTCGGCCCCATCCTGAAAGAGTACCATTCTTGGTTGCTGAAACACCAAGGGCACGTCATACTCTCGATGAATTGAATCCACAGAAATCCAAACATCAAGGTGTAAGGAAAGCAAAATGGCATTTAGGAATTAGAAGTCAAAGTCGACCAAATGATATCATGGCAGAAGTATGCAGAGCAATTAAACAATTGGATTATGAATGGAAGGTAAGAAAGAAAGAACATTTTGATTATTAGCACATTTGGCAAACTTGTATTTGGCAAACCTGTAGTCTATAAAATGTTTTATAGAAGAATTGCTTTTGACTTCATTTTTTGATGCCATATTCTAGGTTGTAAACCCATATTATTTGCGTGTACGAAGGAAGAATCCTGTGACAAGCACATACTCCAAAATGAGTCTACAATTATACCAAGTGGATAGTAGAACTTACTTACTGGATTTTCGTAGTATTGATGGTATGTACATCACACAAAGCAATGTAGATTATATATTAGACCTTGTTACTTGGCTTTTTAGTCTTTGATTCTTTTGAAGCTTCTTGACTTGTTGCTAATAATTCAATAGCAAAGGAATATAAAATGTGACTTTTTATGCCTTCGTGATATTAACATTTGTGAATCATGTTATTCTTTTAACCTTATAGTTTATTGTTCTTTGAAGATTATCATCTTGTAAAATCCTCAAAGCCAGATGCAATCTGATCCCAAAGTGATAGTTTTCTATCACATTTGTTTTTTTGGTGTGGTTTATTTTGGTTAGATAAAATATTTTATTTAGAAATAAGCGTTGACTTTTCTGTAAATTTTTATTATTAAAGATTTTTAAATTAAGTACAAGGTTATGGTAATTTTTTGTTGGCCAAATCAATTGCATTAAGATATGGTGTCACCTTTGTTCATGGAAGATTGCATGGAATTATTAGATGAGGTTCACCTATACATTTTTTTCTTTTTTCTTTATTTTTTTTATTTTTTTGAGACAGGGTCTCACTCTGTTGCCCGGGCTAGAGTGCAGTGATGTCATCATAGCTCACTGCAACCACAAACTCCTGGGCTCAAATGCTCCTCCTGCTTTGGCCTCCCAAGTAGCTGTGACTGCAGGCATGTGCCACCATGCTTGGCTAATTTTTTCTATTTTTGGTAAAGACAGGTTCTCGCTCTTGTCAGGCTGGTCTTTCTTCTTTATAAACTCAAAATAATACCCACATAGTATCAGAAAAACACAGGTTTGAGTAATGATACACTGGCCAAACTTTTTTGTCTGGTTATTTTTATGTCCAGACAGTATATATCTGTTAACACATACTAATACAGTCTGAGATGTGGGATGGGTTTTCATTTTCTTATTGCATTGGGATCAAATTTGCAATATTAGATTTATTAGCACTTGAGGATACCAGGTAAATGATCATTTACTGTTTTTGTACTGTGTTCCCAACTTTAGATTTTTTTTTGATTTTTGTTCATTGGAATTGTTGATGTTTTATAGGACCTTAAATGACATATGAAAAGAAAGTAGAGAGTGAAAAGCACTGAGCTGAGAGTTAGGAGAGTTGGGTTCTAGACTTACCTTTCGGTTCATTTGTTACCTTGGGCAAGTCACTTCTCTGGGTTTGTTTTCTTATCAATAAAATGAGGGGTTGGATAAGGTGATTTCCAAGATACCTTCCAAATATTAAGTGTGTTAATACTATGATTTTAATATAGGGGAATTAATTTTTATTGCTAGAGAACGATGTTTATTAAGCTTCAGGTTATTAGTTTACTGGGTTCTTAATCTTGGCCTGCAACTGATGAATAGTTACATACTGTACCCAGTCTTGATCAGCCATCACAAGAATACATACTCTGTGTAAAAAGGAGAGTGGTTTAACACAGGCTCATTGCTTCTATTTGTATTTAAAATAAAATAAAGATACTCTTGATAGCTGGTCACTAGTCTCACTTAAAGAAGAAAATTCAAAATTGTTATAAATATTTTGGGAGAAGGTCATAGATTATAATAAATTGAAATTCTTTTTACTCAGATGAAATTACAGAAGCCAAATCAGGGACTGCTACTCCACAGAGATCGGGATCAGTTAGCAACTATCGATCTTGCCAAAGGAATGATTCAGATGCTGAGGCTCAAGGAAAATCCTCAGAAGTTTCTCTTACCTCATCTGTGACCTCACTTGACTCTTCTCCTGTTGACTTAACTCCAAGACCTGGAAGTCACACAATAGAATTTTTTGAGATGTGTGCAAATCTAATTAAAATTCTTGCACAGTAAACCTAAAACTTTGCTTATTTCTTTGATAGCAATAAGCATGCATAATAAGTCATAGCCAAATGCTTCCATTTATAATCAAGTTATACATAATTATAACTGAGGATTGGCCTTTGGAATGCAATTTGCACAGGGATTGGAACATGATTAATAGTTAAAAGCCTAATGTGCAGAAATGAATTAAGATCATTTTGTTCATTGTTCAGTAGATATATAGCATAATATACACAATGGATTGTAGGTCTCTCAGGCTCACTTGATTTTTGGCTGTTTTATACTTAGTGTACACAGGGCTTTGAGACTATGAATTTACCATAAAGGCCTTCATACATTATTACATGTTGATGTGTTATATATTTGCTTCATAAATTCATTCAATAAATATTTGCCTAGAATTCCCAGAGACCTTCTACAGGTGATTTTGTTTCCTGGGCTCCTTAACTTATAGCTAGTATCTTCTAACAGTAGTAACAGTCTGGATAACTTCTTCCATATCTCCCTCTTAAAATTCTATAGCATATGGTAAGTCATATCAGATATTAGGCCCAATTTGAATTTTTTCTTTAGTTTCATAAAGTCCAAAAACACACAGAATTTATATGTTCAGATACTCTAGTGCTAAGTTAATCTTACAGTTTGTCCCACTATATTCTGTACATAAAGTGTTCTTTTTGTTATTAAATATGAGTTGCATATACTGTAAATAAATCATGTTGTTTTTGCCAATTTCAAAAATCCTCTGGCTTACCATATCAGTCAGTATTGAGTGGATGCAAAAATTTCTAGTCATTTGATTATGTATTTTTAAAGTTGATTCAGTGCATAGAAGGAATATCTCTTACAAACTTTAAATGCTTGAATATGACTTTTCCCCCCAAATTTTATTATGAAGACTTTTAAAATAAGAAAAATTAATATAGGGTGATCACATGTTTATTTACCATTTAGATGCAACAATTGTGTTTTGCCATATTTGTTTTCTCTATACCTATATATGTATAAAGATACAGATATGCATGTGCGTGTGTGCGTGTGTATATATACATACATGTTTTTAGTCCTGAACCATTTGGATGTTACAGATACACTTACTGCCCTTAAATACATCAAGAATTTCCTAAAAATAATGACATTCTTCTAAAAAACCATAATACCAATATAAAATTAATAATTCCCTAATATCATCTAATAACACTCAATCCATATTTAAATTCCCCCATTTGTCCTCCAAATTATTTTATAGCTGGTTATTTCATATTTCATATTCAAGTTTACATATTGCATTTGTTTTTATCTCTTTAGTCAAATATAACATTATTATTTTGATAAAATGTGGAACAAATCAGTTCTTCTAAATGGTCACATTTGTTTTGCCTTTTAATTACTTTTAAAAAAATTAGCATTATGGGAACTTTCTAAAGATATTTACTCTTCCAGAGATCTCTGATTTACATTTATATTTTCTTTTTCTCACTCTTAGTAATAGCATCACATAATACATGTAAATGAAGATTTAAAGTCACCTCAGATAAAATTGGTATCGTGTATGCTAATAAAAAATATTGTACCACTCATTGTCTTATTTAGCTTCACAATATTGATTTATTTTGGTATTAAGCATTTTTCCCATTGTAACAGAGCTATCTTTTTTCTATTTTAAGAATTGTTGTATTTTAGGGTTGTTTTGGGCAAATACGGTGAGCATCTATGTAACCAGATGAGAATGCACTCAAATGTCATGATAGCTTGCAGAAATGATTACTCTAGTTGTAGATTTGACTCCAGCACCTCAAGAATCATGCACTGAATTCAAAACAAAAATCTTGTTTCTTTTTGCCCAGAGTTTGTTCTATTCAACTTTGAATTTGAAAGCTGTACAAAGTAATAGAAGTTCCATTTAAATATGTGTTCAAAACCTGTATTTATAACTTTTATGTGGCCCTCTGGTTTGAGGATATTGATTTCACTTAAGTTCTCTAAATGCAGCATTATGTTCCTGATATTAAGAACAGAAGACTGTATTTTTAAAGTTACAGATTTGTATATAGAACTAAGTAATGTCTCTATAAGGTGTTGCAGGGAGAGGGGAAGAAAAGGAGGAACCAGTTAAATAGGACCTTCTAAAAATTGTTAATTTTGTAAACTTTGCTTCATTTATAAGTTATTGTGATTCCTTTAGTTACTGAGATTTATTTTGAAGATATTTAAATATTGCACTTGTACAAATAGAATGATAAATGCACAGATTATTGCAGTAAATTCTTTTTTAAGCTTGGATATTTGAAATGATAACTTTTGGGTGTGTCAAGATTGCAACAGGATTTTCACAAATTTATTGTAGTTTGCAAATTCTTACCAATATTGAAGAGGTAAGGGGAGTGAATGCAAATGATTTTTAATCTTTTTTTAGTATCTTTTCAGCAATTTATATTTTTTGTGATTTTATGCAACCATATTTTTACTTTGTCTTGACAACTGAAAGATGTATAAGGTTTTGCCAGAAATGTACTGTATACATAGTTTTAAATATAACAGATTTTACTGATATGTAAAAATTTTGCCATTAAAATAATTGATTTGTCACTGAGAGGAACTTTTCTACCAGGTTGGGGCATATGGGAGCTTAATATATCAGATCTAATTTAAAATAATTTCACCTAAATAAACTCCATTGCTCTTTATTTTTTTTGTTAATATGCTTTTATAGTTTTTCAGAATTTTAGATGATTTTATACAAAATCCTTCCCTCCCTGCCCCACAGTACCCTTTTTGATCTTGTAGTGATACCGTCAAACACTAAATTAATACTTGGTGTAGTCTGTGGCTAGATGTAGAACTCCATGTATCTATGTTCCAACAGGCGTCTTTGTAATGAAAGAAAAATGTGTGTTGTCCAAATCTTTTTTTCCTCAATTCCTTCCCCCATTTCCCCATCCACAATAGAAATCTTATTTTCATCGTGAGTTCTGACAAGGTGAATGAATTCCACATACAACATAACTGTAAAGTGGTAGTAGGTAGAAATCAATCTTTGTGGTTCATGTATATTTTGACCAGAGTATATTTAAATATACAATTTCAAGTACTTTGACTTAGAAAGATGGTATAATAAAGAAAAATTTCATATTTCACCTGTTACAATGTGCTTGCTTTTCTGACCCCTGGGAAAACTAAATGTGTAAAAAAAGCTTGCTCATGGCTGAATATCTGTGCACCTTTCTTTTTAACAATGTACCTAAATATAAACTATAGTGGTGGACCACATTTTAGTAATCAAACATTGTGATTTTTTTCTCAACTGAATTAGTTTTGATTTCATGTAAAATTTAACCACCTAAGTATTAAGATATATACAAAGAAAGCCAAAGCAGCTATCATTCAGCGGTTGCCTAACATTAAATTTGGTTAGAATTTCACTACTGTTAGAATTCAATTAGTATTAAATCTTGTATTCCTATGGCATTATTAGGCAGGGCTTGTGCTAGATTTCATTCTAAATCTTTAAAACTACAAAAGAAAACAGTGCTAAAGAGTGTTACAAATAGTGTAGTGGGATTTTAGGAAACTGATAAATTGCTCTAGGTATTTACCTTGACTGTACGAAATAGTACAAGAAACTCTCTTGTTTGAAAATTTAATATTTTGAGAACTATTCTACTTATTGTAAATATTAATAAATAAACCATTCTATTTATTGTAAATGCCAATAGATATTAGCCGTGATAAATTGAGAGGATTTTTGGCAACTTAGAAGATGATCACGTTATCTATTAAAAGCATAGGAAATGAATTAAAATATATAATAAGCAAATCAAGATCACAGAGCAAAGTAAGAGAAGTGGTGGGTGAAGTACTAAAACTTAGTGGGAAATAACCTTTACCAGAGTAGAGGTGAATCAAGGTTAAGTTACTTGAGAAACTTAGGAAAGACCCTTACAAAGGGGTGCAGCTTCAGGCACCATTTAATTATTCACTCTGCAAACTGTATCCCCTCATATAGCTACTATGAACTACTGGCACTACAAATGTGACCATAAGAGATCCTGCTCTGAGCATCTTGTTAGGGAGATACATATATTTTTAACACTTTTTATAGAGGTATAACATCAATGGAAAAGTGTACAAATAAATATTTGGCTCAATAAATTTTCAGTGTTTCAGGTATACAGTTAACGGTGGCCATGTAAACCTCTACCTGGATTAAGAAACATTGCCACCACATTAGTGTCTTTTATAATTAATATCAGAAGTGATACATTATCACTTCTGCACTATTCTATAGATAATACAGAGCAACTCTGGTACAAGAATTACACAAGGATGTGAATCCAGGAGTGGGAATCATTGGAGGCCATCTTGGAGGCTGGCTACCCCAGTTATGCACTGATCATTTTGAAAATATTGGTTCACTTATGCAGCTCATACAAATGTTAATACATCTAATCAAACAATATAAATAAAAATTACATCTGATAATATCTCCAGTGATATCATCAGAAAAGTCTGGAAGTATTGGGGAGCTGCCAAGATCTTTTGGTGAATACAATTTTTCCAGAATCATAATTTTTGCCTAAAATCTTTAATTTTATCATTGTCAACACTGTCAGTTGTTTTTCTTGAAGTAGTAGATTCCCTGTGTTCATTTTCAAGAAAAGGTCTGTCAAATAGGCAAGTCTGAATAGCCAGTTTGTCAGTCGTTCTTGTAAATAAAAGTTGTGTTCTATGAAAAAAGTATCTAGTTTAGTTTAGAATGCGGTCTCAAAAATACTTTTCTTTGAGACAACATCATACTCCAGTATGCCGAAGTACTTTATGAAGACTTACCATTTTTTTCACATAGGATATTAAAAAGTGTACCCAACTGTTCTTAATAATTTTTACAGCTTCTTCGAAGATATTCTTGAGTGAGGGCATTCATTTTTCTTACTATGAGTGTATGTGGTGGCCAAGAATACGATGACTACTAGTACAGTTTGGTATCATCACCGTGATTCCTGCTTGAAGGGCCAGCAATTTTACCCACGGTTGCTTTTCCATCATCGGTGCAAATGTCAGTTTTGTGAAAAGCACAAAATAATGCCTTCATATTAGTATGGCAATAGTTTTGGCGTTGAAAGGGTGTCGGCCACCCTTAGGAGAATCAGCAATCTATATCTGGTTCCCAACGGGGCAGGGTAGGGTGACAATTTTTCTTCCAGGGTATATTTCACTGGGGAAGCAATCGGTTGTCACAGTTGATGGCGGTGGTGGATACTAATGGCATCTACTGTGTAGAGACTAGACATGCCGCTAAGCACCTTATTATGCACAGGATGCCCTCTTCCCCCCTCAAAGAATTAGCCAGTTTAAAATGTTAATAATGCTGAGGATGAGAAAGCCTGATCTCCAAATATGGGTCTCCTTTTGCACAAGATATTAATAGCTACGTGGATAAACTGACAGTATTAGTTGCCCATGTTATATTTGTCCATTTATTTATATTCATGACATGACCCACAGACACATTCCGGCCATAATTCTGTCATCTGGGCTCAACTTATTTGTTACTTCTGACGTGAAGCCCACAATTCAGCGATGACCCTCCCTGATGCGCACCCATTGAGTCCTTTCTAATCGAGTTTTGCCTCTCTGTTCTCTGCGTCTAGGAGGCCTCATCAGCTAGGCTGCAAACCCCTTTAGGGTAGGACCGTATCTTAAGCCTTTGAATGCCCCTTAGAATCATTTTCCCGGGCCCTTGCTTGCTCTACCTGCGGTCTGGAAGCGCCGCGGTACGGCGGGGGCGGCTCCTCCCCGCGCTCCTCAGCCGCGCAGGCGCGTTTGCCCGCGCTCCTGCACTGCAGCCCCGCACGCCAGACGCCCCCGGCTACTGCCAGAGGGCGCTCTCGGACGAGTGGCCCCGACTACAAATCCCAGAAGGTAACGCGGTGGGGCGGCCGCAGTGACCTCTGGGATTTGTGGTCCCGGAGGAGGGATTGGCGGATGAGAAAGACTGAGAGTCTTTCCTTTGCTCGCTCTTAGTGGACTGTTGCCCCAGGTGTCGGCCAAATCCGTATCTTGGAAACCAGGCATCAAAGGCAGGCAGGTAGGAAGTCGGCCGTGCTAATTTCCGCTTCCGGTAGGCAGCAATGTAAACACGGGACCACGGGAGTGATTATTAGGTAGCTGAGGCTGCCGGGTCGGCGGTGGAAGCGGAGGGAAACGAGGCGTGTGGGTGTTGTGTTAGGGAAGAAAGGAGTTTCAGAAATCAGAGTTGAAACTCGACAGGGTCTGGCACAGCCGGGACACTGAGGTTGGTCCCTAGGAACTAGGTAGTCTGGGGGTCGGGCCCTCCCCTGCAGCGCCGCCTGGGAGGCGGTCGGGATAGTGTGGCTTTGACCTTCCCTTCGCGGTGGGAGGGGCGGAACGGAGCTTGCTTTCTACTCAGCGTTTACGGTGTCTGAGGCTGAGCGCGGCGTGGCGAACTCTCAGGTGACGTCCGGCAGCCTTTATGAGTTTCTTGTTATGAACATCTTTATTATGGCTGACCAATGAAGGGAAAGTCGCTAATACTGGTTTCTCTCTTGTGGTGGTATTTTTGGGTAAATTGTTTCTTGAATTCCTCACCTCCAAATATACCCCTTTACCCGGAGGATGATATTGTGATTTCCCTGATCGTGTTCATCCAGGGGTTTTTCGCCTGCGGTGCTGCATCCTCGGACGCAGTCAGGATAAGCGTTCTCTGGTTTGTGGCTGGGTAAAATGTCAGCAGTTATTGAGCGCCTACCGTAGGGATCATTGTACCAGTACACGAATTTAGAATACGATGTCGTTTAGAATTTTTATGGCATTCTTTAAAATTCTGTGTAAAATGTTGAATTTGTATGGTTTCATGAATTTAGCATGAAACCTGTGTGACTGTGATTGACCCCTGTGGTTTCTTAGCCTGACGAAAAAAATGTTAAGTCTAGGATGTTGGTGCCTGTGCATCTAACTATAGATTCAGGAATGCCTCCTTTATAACAGTTTTTAATTTCATGTTCAGATAGCCATATAGGAACAGTAAACTTGTATTATTTAGAATACCTGAATCAACTCAGTGTTAAATTTTCCAAGGCAGAAAGTGTTTTGCGTATGTTCTAGGATTCCCATCTTTTTTATAAGCCTGGCTAACTTTTATCTTTCAGAAGTTCTCCAGGAAGCCTGAAGTATGTGTCCCCTTCTCTGGCATCCTCGCATCCTTTGTTTATTGTCTTGTAGCACTTATCCTGTGTTGTAATTGACTGTACTCTTGTGGTCTTCAGTTTCGAAGACAATATATAAATGTGCCAATGGCCTTGGTAACAGATTCATGCTTTTTAACCTCAGTGAGCCTTTGATACTGTTTGATATCTCTTCTCATTCTTTATTGTTGCTTTTCCTAATCTCCACAGTGCCTATTTCACATCTTGTCCATTTTTCTCAAGTGCTGAGATCCATTTATGTTCTGTTTACTTTGAACAGATGAATAGCCGCTTATTTCTTGCAGAAATGTGAAGTTTGGGGCATGAAATCCCTCATTTTCCTTTCCTTTCCTTTCACCCCGGAACTTTCTTATACTTTTCACTCAGTATGAACTTCTTTTCTGTCTGAGAGGAATGCATTTTTGTCCCTCTCTTCAAGGCTAAACTTCTCAATTGCTAGTGTCATCAGGCCTCCTTATAACCTCATTCTGTTCTTCTAGAGCCTCTGGGCTCTAGAAGATCTCAAGGGATTTGTCGGGGAGACTGGTACAAACACCTGAGATGATAGTGTGTGTGGCTTTTTCATACATGGTTGAGAACCACCACCTGGGTGGGGCCTTAACATATGCTTGTTCTCACCAGTTATAACAGAGGTTTGGGTTGGAAGATGGGGAGGGTAATGGGAGTCTGAATGACCTATTAATTTTTAAAAACCTGTTGGTCTGTCTCTCTTTTTTTCCTTTTCTCCCCACTCTATCCCCTGCCTCTAATAATCTACAGACCTGAACAATGATTTTTAATGTAATTCTCCTTCAGTAAACACCAGATTTCTGTTAGTATTAATAGGGTCGCCACACTGCCTGATGCCTCATGTTATTATTGTAGAAACAAAGTTCCATTTGGAACTTAAAGCCAGAAAACTTAATCATCATTCTTGTTACAGTTGGGGACAGTCATAAATACAAGACTTTCTTATCTTGTCTAGATAGCTTGTGAGGCCTTCCTAACAATCCATTCTCTCAGGCTGTCCTGACTCTGTGCTTCTGAACTTCTGTTCCATAGTATCCACACTATCCACACTGAGATTTTCAGTGATTTCCTGGTTCTTCCCCCAAGATATTTGTAGTCATATTCAAACACAGGAAATTCATTCACCCATATTATGCATCTGGGAGAAGTTTTTTTAAAAAATCTCTTCTGTGGAAAGCATGTGGTTCACCTATAGCAGCTTGTATATTTCTTTCTTTCTTCCTTTTTTTTTTTTTGAGGGAGACAGAGTTTTGCTATATTGCCCAGGCTGGTCTCAAAACTCCTGGCCTCAAGCTATCCTCCCACCTCGGCCTTCCAAAGTGCTGGGATTACAGGCATGAGCCACTAAGCCCAGCCTTAAATTTTTAAATTATTTTTTTAAGAGAGCCTGTACATTTCTTGATTGCTGTGATTTATTGGTGCTTCCTCATATTCATTAAGAACTTAGGTGAATGACTCACAATTTTTTTACCCCTCCACATTATGCTGTTATTGTGGGGCTTTCTGTGTGAATGACCTCACAGCCACCCTTTTTTCTTTGTCTCCTTCTAGAGATTTGTTTTATTGTGCTTCGCTTTATTGCGCTTTGCAAATAATGCTTTTTAACACATTGAAGGTTTGTGTCAACTCTACCTCAAGCATGTCTTTCAGCACCATTTGTCCAACTGCATGCGCTCACTCATGTCTTTGTATCACATTTTGGCAAATCTTGCAAGATTTCAAACTTTTTCGTTATTATATTTCTTATGGTGATCTGTGATTAGTAATCTTTGATGTTACACTTGTAAAGTATTTTGGGATGCCATGAACTACACCCATATGTGATGGTGAACTTAATAAATGTTGTGTGTGTTCTAACTGCTCCACTGACCAGCCATTCCCCCATCTTTCTTCCTCTCTTCAGGCCTCTCTCTTACCTGAGACACAACAGTATTGAAATTAGGGCAATTACCAACCCTACAATGGCCTGTAAGTGTTCTAGTGAAAGGAAGAGTCGCAAACTCTTACTTTAAATCAAAGTAGAAATCATTAAACTTAGTGAGGAAGGCAAGTCAAAAGCCAAGATAGGCTGAAAGCTAGGCCTCTTGTTAGCCAGGTTGGAATGCAATGGAAAAGTTTTTGAAGGACATTGAAAGTGCTACTCCAGTGAATACAGGAATGATAGGAAAGTTAAACAGCTTTATTGCTGATGTGAAGAAAGTTTTAGCAGTCTGGGTAGATGATCAAACCAGCCACATTTCGTTAAGCAAAAGCCTAATCCAGAGCAAGGCCCTAATTCTCTTCATTTCTGTGAAGGCTGAGAGAGGTGAGGAAGCTGCAGAAGAAAAGTTTGAAGCTGGCAGAGGTTTGTTTGTGAGGTTTAAGGAAAGAAGCTGTCTGCATAACATAAAAGGGCAAGGTGAAGCAGCAAGTGCTGATGTAGAAGCTGCAGTAAGTTATCCAAAAGATCTAGCTAAGATAATTGACGAAGGTGGCTACACCAAACAACAGATATTTAATGTAGATGAATCAGCCTCTATTGGAGGAAGATGCCATCTAGGACTTTTATAGCTATAGCTTTTATAGCTAGTCAGTGCCTGACTTCAGAGCTTCAAAGGATAGGCTTACTGTCTTATTAGAGTTGCAGCTGGGGACTTTAAGTTGAGCCCATGCTCATTTACCATTCCAAAAGTCCTAGAGCCCTTAAGAATTATACTAAGTCTGCTCTGCCTGTGCTCTGTAAATGGAACAACAAAGCCTGGATGACAGCACATCTGTTTACACCGTGGTTTATTGAATATTTTAAGCACACTGTTGAGACCTACTGCTCAGGGAAAAAGATTCCTTTCAAAATATTATTGCTCACTGATAGTGCACCTGGTCACCCAAGAGCTCTGATGGAGATGTTCAAGGATATTAATGTTGTTTTCATGCCTGCTAACATAACATCCATTCTGTAGCCCATGGATCAAGAGTACTTTTGACTTTCAAGTCTTATTTTTTAAGAAATACATTTTGTAAGGCTATAGCTGCCATAGATAGTGATTCCTCTGATCAATCTGGTCAATGTAAATTGAAAACCTTCTGGAAAGGATTCACCACTTTGGATGCCATTAATTGGTATGAATGTTATTAAAAAAATAAGAATAAAAAAGAGAGAAAATAGTGCAAAGAGCAAAAAATAAAAAAATAGATGCCATTGAGAACATTTGTGATTCATGGGAGGTGGTCAAAATAGCAACATTAGTAGGAGTTTGGAAGAAGTTAATTCCAACCCTCATGGATGACTTCGAGAGATTCGAGACTTCAGTGGAGGAAGGAACTGCAGATGTGGTGTGGAAATAGCAAGAGAACTAGAATTAGAAGTGGCACTTGAAGATGTGAGGAAATTACTGCAGTCTCATGATAAAACGTTAATGGATGAGGAGTTATTTCTTCTGGATGAGCAAAGAAAGTAGTTCCTTGAGATGGAATCTATTCCTAGTGAAGATGCTGTGAACACTGTTGAAACAACAACAAAGGATTTAGACTATACTACATAAATTTAGTTGATAAATTAGTGGCAGGGTTTGAGAGGATTGACTCCAATTTTGAAAGTTCTACTGTGGGTAAAATGCTATGAAATAGCATTGCATGCTATAGTGAAATTTTGTGAAAGGAAGAGTCAGTTGGTACTGCAGACTTCATTGTTGTCTTATTTTAAGAAATTACCGCAGCTACCCCAGCCTTCAGCAAACACCATCCTGATCAGTCAGCAGCCATCAATATCCAGGAAGGGCCCTCCACCAGCAAAAAGATTAGGACTTGCTAAAGGCTCACATGATTGTTGGCATTTTTTAGCAATAAATTGTTTTTAAATTGAGGCATGTACATTGCTTTTTTAGATATAATGCTATTGCATACTTAATAGACTACAGTGTGGTGTAAACATAACTTTTGTATGTACTGGGAAACCAAAAAATTTGTGTGACTCGCTTTATTGCAATAGTTGCTTTATTGAAGTTACCTGGTACCGAACCCATGCTATCTCTGAGGTAGGCCTGTACTTATACTTCACTTGAGCTGTGTGCATCAATGATGAAGACCTTGATATCTGCTAAAACTTACTCACTATTTCATTTCTCTCCCTCCCTTATTGCCACGATGCCTAGTCTTTGGTAGTTTGATAAAGACCTCTGGTTCATTGCTTTACCGTGTTTCTCTAGTTAATCAGTAGATCATAATCTCCTTGGAGTTACAGACTACTTTAAGGAGGTCATGAAAGCTTAGGCACTCTTCTCCAGAATGCATACAGGCATAAAAAATTTACACACAGGCTTACACAGCATGGCCGGCGACATTAGATAGTGCTCGCCTTCCTTTCTCTGATGGGGAAGCAGCGGATTACAAGAGACTTAACTGTATCTGCCTCTATTTCTAACAAACTTAAGTTCAACTTTTGCTTACAAAAAATGGAAAATTTTATTAGTCCCTTTTTTAAGAAAAGTTAATATAAAATTATAGCAAAAAAAGAAACTTGAGCTGAAGTAACACAGCTGGGAATAGTCTGTGGTGGCGGCAGCAGCAGAGAAGAGGTTTAATTTAGTTGATTTTCTGTGGTTCTTGGTTGTTAGCTAGTCTCAGGGTGATGAAAGCTGTTCCAGAGAACAAGAAGCTGCTGGAGGTTTGTTTTCCTGGCAGCAACCCGATGCAAACAAAGGATCTAGGGATCTTTTCAGTATCCCAAGATATAAGTGGGACATACTTTTGAAGGATGTACAATGTTCAGTCATAAGTGTGACAAAAATTGACAAGCTACAAGTTTATGTACTCAGAGTAGCACGTTTGTTTTCAAGAGATGCTTTATTTTAAAGACATATATTAATACTACCACCCTTTTGCCAAAAGCACTGGTTCCCCTGTTGAAGCTTGCTAGGGATTGCAGTGGGTTTGACTCAATTCAAAGCTTTTATTCTCGTAAGAATTTCATGAAGCCTTCTTACCAAGAGTCCCCACACCAGAATTTACAGGAAGAAATAGAGTTTATTAATGTAGTTTTCCCAAATGGAGCAACATCATGTGGTACATACGAATTCTGATAGTTGGTAATCATATACTCTGGATTTCCCAGAGAGTTGGGTAATTAGCCAGATCAAACCCTGGAAATTCTGATGAGCGAGTTTGAACCAACAGTTATGGACAATTTCTATATGAAAGATGGTGTTATTGCAAAGGATGTCACATATGAGTGGAATTGGTGACCTGATACCAGGTTCTGTCATTGATGCTGTACTGTTCAATCCTTATGGGTATTCAATGAATGGAATGAAATTGGATGGAACTTATCTATCCGATCAGAACTGGAATTTTCTTATGTTAGCTTTGGAACAAACTTAATTCATACCTCCTATGATGACTTGGTCAGGAAAGTTTGTGACCACCTTGTTTGTTAATCAGTGTTCTAAATGTTATACAATGCTTTCTTTACCCCAGAAGATCGAAGGTTTTACACATCTTGATTGTCAGAGTGCCATGTTCTGTGATTAAAATTTTGTTTTTACCAGTTTTGGTAAGAAGCAACAACAGCAGAGTTGATTAAGAAAATGAAGAAAAAACACTAAAAGAGAACACACATGGAAGATGGTGGCTGCTTTCTAGACACTGATATCAGGGGCCATGCTTTCCATAACTACCACCTTGTAGTTGAGAAAAGCCCCAGATGTAATGATAGTGTAATTGTTTTGAATTATACGTACTATTATATCAAGGAGTTAGATATCTTGCATGAATGCTCTCTTTTGTGTTTAGGTTTTCGGTGCCACTCTTGCTGTGAAATTGAAGTGTGCATGTAGAAAAAAAACTTTTATTATATGAAACTTTGCAATACTTGTAAAAACAATTCAGTTTGGTTTATGCACAGTGTAATATTTCTGCAAGTATTGTCTAAAATTTCCCAAGACAAGGCTTTCATCCTCATTGGATGTTGGCCTTAGCCTAACCATTTGGGACTGTTCTGTTAAATTGCTGCCAGAATTTTACATGCAGTTACCTCCACTTTCTAAAGCGTTTTCTTTACTAATGTTATTGAAACCAATTTCTACTTCATATAAATTTTTTTTTTGCAACAGCAGTTAAAGTTTTTCTTACACAAAAAAGAAAATTTACATATAATTTATGTACAATTTCAGGAATTTCTCAGTATCCTGAAGCTCATCTATGCACCTAGTAAATTCTTAGATCATTCAGTTAATCCCTTCTCTAAATATCTGTTGAATTCTTCCAGGATTTTCTTTAACTTTGTTCTATTAATTATCTCTCTCTTTTTATCCTTTACATTTGTATACCATTGCAAATTTACAAAGCAGTTCAACATCTGTTATCTTTTTTTTTGTTTACCCAAAAATTCTGTGGCTTAAGTCATTTAGCAAGTTTGAATCTTTTAAAATCTTTTTATTATGGAAAATCTCAACATATATGAAAGGAGAGAGAAAAGTACACTGATCCTTATGTATTTACCACCCAAACCCATCAATCATCACTTCAAAGCAGTCATATTTCATCTTTACTACATTCCTCACCCCCACTGATTACTTTGAAACAATTCCTAGATATCATATAATTTCATATGAAATATTTCAGTATGCATTCTTAAAAGATAAGCATTATTTTTATAAAAATAATCACAATACTATTATTACACCTAAAGAAATATAGCAGTAATTCCTGAATATCATCAATTATCAAATCTGTTCTGATATCTCCTATTGTTCCCTTCCTATTGTTTTTGTTTTGAATCTGGAATGAAACAAGGTGCGTATATTATGTTTGGTTAGTATGTCTCTCTCTTTTTTTTTTTTCATTCTGAGATAGGGTCTCTCTCTGTTGCCTGGGCTACAGTACAGTGGCGTCATCATAGCTCACTGCAATCTCAGACTCGTGGGCTCAAGCAACCCTCCTGCCTCAGCCTCCTCAGTAGCTGGGACTACAGGTGTGCGCCACCATGCCTGGCTAATTTTTTTTATTTTTTGTAGTGACCGGGGCTTCGCTATTGCCCAGGCTGATCTAGAACTCTTGGGTTCAAGTGATCCTACCACCTCAGCCTCCCAAAGTGCTAGGATTACAGGTGTGAGCCACCGTGCCATGCCATATATCTCTTAAGTCTCTCTTAATCTAGGAGTTACCTGTCTTCTTTCTCTTCTCTTTGTTTCCTGACAGTTTATTTCTTGAAGAAACCAGTTTTATTTTTCTTTACTTTTCTGCTGTCTGTGTCTCTGATGTGTTATTGAGCATGTTTAACTCTATCCCGTATTTCTTACAAACTGGTAGAAGCCTGATCTGATTTCGAATTAACTTTTACAAGAGTACCTTGTAGGTGGTGTGCCGCTTCCATCAGGAGGTGCATAATGTCCAGTTGTCTTTCTTAGTGATGTTAGCAGCCATTTGGTGACTATTGCCTAGATCCACTAATTAGGGATTAAAAAATGGCGGTAGTCTAATCCGGTTATTTCTTCTTTGTCTGTTAGTTGGAATACTTCTATAAAAGGCCAAGTTTGTTTTAAAGCTGTTTCTTTGTAATTTTCCAGAATGGCTTCTTTTGGGTGGAAGAGGAAGATTGGTGAGAAGGTCTCAAAGGTCACTTCCCAGCAGTTCGAAGCTGAAGCTGCTGATGAGAAGGATATGGCTGAGAATGATGAAGGTAACTGGCTTCATGCCATTAAACGTAGGAAAGAAATTCTCCTTGAAGGCTCTGCTGAGAAAAGTAAACAGCTGAAGGATGAAGGAGCCAATTTGGCTGAAAATAAAAGGTACGTTTTAGAATTGTCTCATGGAGAACAGTTTATATTTTCTATCTCACTGTCAGTAATGGGATGAAGAGTTACAAATCTGATAAATCCATGGTTTTAAAATCTGATCTAGGTGCTAAACTAATCAAAGAAATAAGGTGTCTCAAAATCACATGAAAATTCTCATTTTCAGGGATAGGTTATAAAATAGTTTTCAGGATGCTTACGTTTCTGCTTTACCATCTTTTT